AAGTGGATTTCAGATACTGGCAGGGAGGCAGTGGCAACTTTTCTCATTAGGCAGTTGTCCATTTTATTTTGAGATCTATTTGATCTGTTTCAGGCTGCAAAGTATTATTTTTGCTAGTGTGTGTTGCTTATTTAATGAGGAAACGCTATATTGCATGTTTATATAATTTCTATATGTATTTTTATATAATGTATATTTACACATTTATATAATTTACATTTATTGACATATATTAATATATATTAAATGTGTAGTGTAAATATAAACATAAATATATTAAATATAAATATTAGACCTGTTATAACAAGGTAATTGACTCCTTAAAATTCTAGTGATTTTGGAGAATTTAGAGGCTGTCAAGCCAAGAGTTGTAAAGATCTTTCAAAGACAAATGTTAAATCAGTGTGTGTGGAGGGTAAAACTCCCACACTGGAAGAATCAGGGTATTATTTATTATTTAACTATATCTGTCTCCTGCTTATGTCCCTCAGTTATGTTAAATGAAACCTCTCCCAGAGGAAATCACTACTCTTATTCAGCCACAATTTAAGATACTTCTTTAAAGGTAGAATTTAAAATTAATGTTCAGGTTTCTTAACACAGATTTATTTCCAGCACCTCTTACTTGAATCAAAAGGCTTTTTTATATCTATAAATCATATTTGATTTGATGAATTACAGAATTAAAAGCCATGACTTACTGAATGGTCTGCAAGTTTGAGATTCAACAGCAACAAAAAAGTAACTTCATATATGTTGAATATATGTGAATAAATTGAAAATTATAGAACTTAAGGACACTTGAATTCTGCAAGACAATCCTCACTCTTCAATTATGGTTCAGTTCCAAGGCAGAGCTAGTTTCAACCATGTCAGTTTTTGTCTGTATTTGCAGACATTCAGGAACAGGGTTTTGTTCGCAGAAGTGTTTTAAGACTGTGCCTTGTATAAGTACAGGCATGAGGAACAATACTGCAGAGACACCATATATCTTTCTCTTTTAAACTTTTCAGCTATTCAGACACAGACTCAGTTCCATGGGACTGGGTAACCAAGTTAGGAAAAGTAAATAATCAACTCCATATTACTTTGGATTTCTATGAAGAGATTATATCCTGATTTTTTTTCACCCCATCTACCCAGTGTTCAATATAGTTATGCAGAGAAAATAGGATAGGATGTTTCATGCTTTGCTATTGGGAAGAAAGGTGAATTTATTCTTGATTAAGGTAGGCAAAAGTAAGTTGTTGAGCTCTGGTGATAAGAAAAATATTATTTTGTGATACAATAAAGAATAGGAATATAACACCAAATATTATTTGCTTATCTTTGATGAAAGCAAAATTTCTGTAGCCTGATACTACATTCATTTCCCTGTTCAGTATTTGGTATGTCAAGTGTTCATACTGGATCTTAAAAGGTGCTCAAAAGCTCAAGAGTATATCAATATTTGCAGCATAAAACTGTTTTCTCTTTGATCATTCAAGCTTTCCATCACTCTAGGTGGTCCTAACTAATAAGGCACTGTGATCTTCTTCACTACTTGATTCCAGTAGCCATGCAACAGACCACATGCAATTAGTGCTTGCCATTATTGTTTTAGTCAAATACCAGCACTTACCTACAAATTTATGATCCTGTTAGTGAATCAGTTCCTTTTAATTACATATTTATAAATCATGTCATATATGGGGACCAAAATTTCTCTTTTAAGAATTTAAACATTCTGTGTCTTTTTCTTTAGGATCTGTTTCCCTTCAAGGCAAAAACCTGTGTGAATATTTAAATATATTTAATACCGAGCTGGAGTGCTGCTCTGATGTTCCATAAAAGCATGTACTATGAAAACCGGAAATCTTCCTTCTTCTCACGGTTTCTGTATGAAGTTGTATAAGCATCTAGTTTATCAGTTTGACATGCCTTTGCAATGCCCATATAGTCAGCATTAAATTGCATATACCTGCTTCAGCGGCCCTTGTCTGCCTAGTTATGGATGTTGGGCACTAACAGCCTTACTCACTTTATTGTATTTTATTGAGAAAGCTGAAAAACGTATATGCAGAAAAGGAATTGGCATCCTCAGAATTAAATACCTAGTTCTGGTTGTTTTTCCCAGGCAGCTATTTGTAATTATCTTTGAATCTTTGAATAAAGATGATTGCACAGAGGACACAGGTTAAGGTGTCCTGTCCTAATCAAGGGGAAATTGCGGCCATAGCATAACAGTCACACTGAGCAGATGTCCAGGTGTAGAACAGAGAGATATGTATATTTTATTTCAATATTAGAGTCTAATGATAAATGAAGAAGGGTTAATGAAAAAATTTGCATGATGACAGTTTATTCTGAAAGGAGCTTCAACCAGGAAGTCCCCTCACAAATGTCCTGTATTTGAAAAAGTTCTGCTGATTTTGAGATTACTGAGAATCAAGTTGCAAGGGAAAACTAAGGAATGGCTTACGGGTACAAACCTGATCTCTATAGAAACCTTAGGCCCTCTCTTATTTTGATTTTAGTTTGATTTGATTTGCTGGTCTCACAATCTTGAAAGTGTATGCTTGTGATGAGATCGTGGTAAGGTATATAAGTTCAAGAAAGCCCTTTCGATGCATAAGCAATTCCTGCCTCTGAGTTTTTTGATAGTAACCCCCTGTCCCCAAATTTTATGTAGGCAGCAATTTGTGTCATGGTCTCTCCAGTACATACATAATTTGCGACTTAGAGATACAGGATAGTCATTGGTTCCTGCTGTAATGGCTATTTTAACCTTACTCCCAGACCAGTTACTTGACTGGGATACTTGATTAGGCTGGATTATTTTACAGTAAGACTTTCTGGTGCTCTGAATGTCCCATGCACAGCCCCAGTAATCTGAAGCACTGAGCACAAATTTTCAGCCCTACTCAGCTGAAGAAAAAAAAAAGAATTAAAATTTAACCTTTATCATTTCATTGCCATACAGTCCCTTAGTTCCACATAGTCCTTAGATTTAGGGTTAAAAAACCCTGGTAGTTAAATGCTAGTGGAACATACAGATTTGAGACTTTATTTTCATCCATTTTAACATACAGGTGTATATTCTAAATAATTCTGAAAGAAATTGTTTAATTAAACTCAAAAGAGGGGAGATGTCTGCCCCAAGAGAGGACTGACAAGATGGATTTGCTCTGAACTGCCTGGGATCATTTAAAACCAATGAATTAAAAATCAGATAGTCAGTGAGGGCTATAATTTACACTACAGATGTGGTAAAGCCTTTTGTGTTCATACTTACAGAGAAAGCATTAAACTACAGTGATTTTTGATTTTTTTTTTTTTTTTTTCTTCCCACCAGGGAGAAATGTGAAACTCAATTTTAACCCTGATTGGCAAGGTGCTAATTTGTCTGACAAGTTGTTGGAATCTCAGCATGTTTGAGGTATCCTTGATGTATCAACACCTTCATGCTGAATGAAGGATGCCTTTAATGTGTAAATGTTTAGTACGTATCCTATATCTCATTAGCCAAGAACAATACAAACCACACACAGGCAAGAAGGGTCAGAAGCAAGCTCCAGTCAGAGAAAAATGTTTTATGTTCTAATTAAATGAGCAAACATTTGCAGTACATCTCATTTGCAAATAGCTTATCAAAAATTGCACTTGAAAGTTGCAGCTGAATTTCTGTCCTAAAGGCCTCATGAATCTAATATCATATGGGCACCCTGAACTCTAGTGCCATGTTGAAGTACTGATACCTTATTAGTGCATGCAATATCACCAAATATTAAGAATAGTGGAAGAAAAACAGCTGTTAAATCCTCCCACAGTTCCAAACTCTAGTCTAAGCTATAAGGTAACTTAAAAATTATGTTTATATGTAACTTAAAAAATTTAACTGTCTGACTCGTATGTTAAAATGAAAACATTTCTAGGGCAAATTAAACCACTTTCTAGGGAAATACCATCTCCATTTGAATGAAAGGTAGAAGAATCTGGAGTTTGATTTCATGCTGTAAGTATACCAACACCAAAAGGAAGCCAAGCCAGTGAAAACCAGGTTCTTTGTTCTAGCTGTTCCCATTACCCTTCCTATCTCCACTGCCCTTCAGCAGTCAAATAGCAGTGGCAAGCTGCTCAGGAACACCCAGACCTCACTTGGGCACTTCTGTCTGCTGTCACTATTCTCCCTTCCTGGCGAAGCCTCAACAGGGCTGGTGGGCTTGTTACTAACTCCCTTATGCATTCCACTCTGGCTCTGGTTTAGGTGGTGCCTCTTGCTCTGTCTAGACTGAAGCATAAGGTGGGCATAGGCTCATGGGGAGGACCATGGAACTTCTGCTCCATTTGGAACCCCTTTAGGGGAACACCTGTCTCATCCAGCCCTTGCTGTGGTCCTCACCAGCATGCCCTTCTCTGCAAGGCCATGTGGGCCACTGGTGTGCTGCAGACCTCTGGCTAGCTACATTTCAATGCTGCATAGAAGAGGTCCGAGGACCTCTTTTTATTACTATTTATCTACAGTACACAAAATCAGCTTAATATAATTTGTTATTTCAGTTGCAATTGCTCCCTCATAGAAAGTTAGGGTTGGAAAGGACCTCAAGATCATCAAGTTCCAACCCCCCTGACATGGGCAGGGATGCCTCACACTAAACCATATCACCCAAGGCCTCGTCCAACCTGGTCTTGAACACTGCCAGGGATGGAGCATTCACAACCTCCCTGGGCAACCTATTCCAGTGCCTCGCCACCCTAACAGGAAAGAATTTCCTCCTTATATCCAATTTAAACTTCCCCTGTTTAAGTTTTAACCCGTTACCCCTTGTCCTATCACTACAGTCCCTAATGAAGACTCCCTCCCCAGCACCCCTATAGGCCCCCTTCAGATACTGGAAGGCTGCTATGAGGTCTCCACGCAGCCTTCTCTTCTCCAGGCTGAACAGCTCCAACTTTCTCAGCCTGTCTTCATACGGGAGGTGCTCCAGTCCCCTGATCATCCTTGTGGCCCTTCTCTGGACCTGTGTATGGGTTTATTCCTTCTTTCTGCCTTTCTTTTCCAGAGGTTGATCCCTTTGAACTGCTGAAACCTGATGTCTCACAATCAATAGTCTGTAAAAACAATAAGATCAACAGTGAAAAGATTCAGATTTTCTGCCTATAAATTAAGATTGCTGGGCCACTGTGATGAGTCTGACTTAAACTTATTGCTTGATAGAGGAGCAGGGTGAGAGGAAAGAGATTGGAGACAATGGGGAGCTGTTAGTACAGTATTGATCCACTTCATATAGATAGCTGAGGGAAATATGGATGTGTAAACTTATAATAGATATGACTGACAGATGTCATTTTCTGCTTAAATGCTAAATCACTGATAGACCCTGTGACTAGAATTCTAAGACCCATATATGCTATATTGAAACCTTGCAATATGATCAGGAATACTTGCCTGGTCATAAGATCAGGTTTTCCAACGAAGGTGAAACAGAAGTCTAGTTTCTGGTTTTCTGTATTTAATTTTTTTTTTCTTGGGGTGTGTGTCTTTTTTGAATACCGGTGAGATCATATTTAGTTGTTGTGGGCAAATAGGAATATGCAAGACTTGAGCAGAAGTGCTGTAGTGTGACATGCTTTGGTATGAATGCAAGTGTAGAAACGATTCCTAAGATGAATTTGCCTAATATGTGAATAAGGCTGGGATAACAGTACCACATTGATGGAGTAGCAGCAAGAGCATGGGGTCAGTGGGTGAGTGGCAGACCTGTGTGTATATGGTTACATGGGGCTGCCTCATGGCACTGCCTCAGCCTGTTGGTTAGAAGGCAGGGTGTCATAGCCAAGAACTTGTATTAAGCACTTAGCTCTTACAAAAAAGAAAAGAAAGCAAGTTCTTTTTCATGAAAGGATTGAAGATTCTTTTATGGCTTCAGGCTATCTCATGAACAGTCTGTCCAATAAGTTATTGCTAAAGTGATTACAAAAGTGTTGTGGCAAGTATTCCAAGTTCACAAGTTAAACCCTAAGTGAACTGACCGCAGCAGCTGGGTAACCTGTTTCTGTACTTGAATTAGCCAGTCAGGCACAGATTAGTTAGCTGTGTAAATGCTCATGATCATGAAGTTGTAGGCTTTACATAAGTTCACATCTCAAATTCATGTTCCTACTACTAAGACAGTTTATTAAGTACTGTTAAATATTTCCCTTTTACTACTGTCTGGAACTGAAATCAGAAAAGCTACAAGAATTATTTAGGTCTTACAATGTTCAATTTCTTTCTGAAAATTAAATTAGCTGGCATCTATTTGAAGAAAATGAGGTTTTCCTCATCGAGATGGGACTGAAACAGGTAATTGGAAGAAGCACAATAAGGAAAGAAAGAAAAGCCAGGCAGATAGAGCAGGTATGTGACCATACTTTTCATGGACATTTTGACTTTCTTCTTATGTTCATTTACTTTGTCATACAGCTTCATGACATACAGTTTCATGTCACAGTAGCAATAATCTTAACAGAAAACAAAATTGTCTGTAATCTAATACAACAGAGACAAGTATTTATATATTTAACTTCAATTTCGGTGCTTGTGCTGAAATCAGTGGGAGTTAGAGGAACCTAAATATACTTACAGATGTTGTGACAGCTCTATTCAAGCACAGGTTTTCAAGTCCACATATAGAGTTATGGTTTTGTTAGGGTAATGATCATAGAGCATTTGTCTATTCCTAATTGATACAAGTAAATATTAATTTCCAATTTGAATCCAGCCTTCAAATACCTAGACATTTATTGTTGCTGATGTTGAAAATGCTGCTGCTGAGAGCTGGATGAGCTTTCTAGCTGCTCTGAGGAAACCTCTCAGAGCTGTTTCTTCTGCCAGGTTCCTGGCAACCTCTTTGGGTACATTGGGATGTCTGCATGGCACTGGGCCCACTGTACTGCTGAGACTCTAAGCAAAACAGCAGTAGCCATAGGTTTGTCTCTAGGTATATTTACTTGGCTCCTTGCTCTTTCCAGCTGGCAGACACTGGAATACAAAACTGTTTTTCCTCTCTAGACTCCTTCCTTTCATGTCATATAAGGGCATGCATATATTTAACATATAAAATCATAGTCTGTCAGCCTTGATACTACTATTCTCTTTTCCCAGATTAAAAAAAGCTTATTTATGGTTAACTAAAGCTTCAGCTGATTTAGAGCACTGCAATTCATTGACTCAGCAGCAGTGTCAAGAATATGGCCACTTCTAGTTTTTTCTCCACAAAAGTTTGCAGGGCACTGAGTGTCATTTTCAAGGCTTGTGTCTATCTAAGGCATTTGAAGGTCAAACCCAAGTGGTCTGTGGTCATACTCTGAAATCAAGTTCTTCCAAAACTGGTATCTCCTGATAAGGAAACAATATGCTGGATGCAGAGATAACAGATTTCTGACTGAAAGGCCTACTTCTCTAGGGTTTGCCCATGGGAGTAAGCATGGTGACCTTTGCACTCCTGGATAGTGGGTCCCAGCCACAACCTTTTTACCGAAGAAATCACAATCAACCAAAAAAGAACCCCAAACTTCCTCTCAACATAAAATAAGGTATCCCAGCAACTCAGGCAGAGCCAAAAAAATGTTGAACAGATCCTTATGAAGTTTCAGTTTGAACTGAATTCAGTTTATGTGTATTAACAGTACTCAAAGTACGGGCTTTTGGTGTTTGTTTTTTTTTTTTCTAAGGGAAAACCTGAACAGAGCTTAGGAGGTAAACCAGAACTTGACAGCTGGGTACTGGTGCAAGATTTGTACTAGGTGTTAGCTCTTCCTTAGGCACCCAAATGAAATAAGAGACAGCTAAAGGCTTCTACCACCCAGAGCTCCTCATGATGTTTATGGACACACTTTGAAATCTCTAAAATGTTGCCAATGGGTTTTGAAACCCAAATGGGACCTGGGCAACACAGCCTGAGAGTTGTGTACAGCTCCTGTTTTGTGCTGGTGCCCCCAGCACAGAGGATCCACTCTGGTTTCTCAGGGACAGCATTTGGTTGTTAAATTTATTCCCCATGGGGCTTTCCCCTCTTTTCCAGTCTACTTCAAAAATGACAGGCAGAACCAAAATCCCATTGGATTAAAAGAAAGTGAAAAAGAGAGATGGAACTCTAAGCAAACAAACCAAAACAGTTTGAAATTTTTACTTCAAAAACACCGCAGTATTTTACCAGCAGTATTTTAGCAAGGACTGAATTCATTAGCACTGCCTTATTCATGCTGCTATCATTAAGAGTTCTACTGTTCAAAGACATTTTAAAGAGGCAACTCTTTTACTGCTTTGAAATATCTCTGCCCAGGAGTGAATCTTTGCATTCATTTTCAAAATAATCAGTCTTCCACGTGGAAGCTGTGTGAGTTTATGTAAGACCATCAGTCTTAAAAGACAAATAAAAAATAACAGGCTTCCTTATTCTACCCACTTTCCTTTTCACCATCTCCTTCCACATTTCCTTTTCTTCTTTGTTATCCAGTAGCAGGTACTACAGTCATGTGGTGGGGTAACACGTGCATGCGTGCACTTGTGCACACTAAAGTGTGTCAAGGCTCAAAAAATGAAGACTAGAACCTCTCAAATAATTTCTTGTTTCTTCTTCCTTCCTTTTCCCTTTCCTTTATATGTTCTCTGCTAGCATTTTGTAACGCTGTTAATTGCTGTGATACTGTGAATCCATGGTTAACTGTGATCCTAAACTGTTATCATTTCCAGTGCATCTTGACGCCGAGCAGTGGCGAGGTGTTTTTGTGGTGCCAGAGGCAAAGGTAGAAGCCTGCGACCTCTGTTAAGTTACTCTTAAGTCATTCTGACCCATTTAGGTCCAACATTAGGTTGTTGTTATAGTTTATTCTTTCTATGGCAACTGAGCTCTAATTGAGAACATGAAAAATGTGCTGGATGTGGGAGATAGAGTAAAAAGCATGCTTTTGTTCTGAAACTGGGAATCCCAGCAGCGCAGACTGCTGCAGAAACACGACTTGAGCTTAGCCACCTCAGTGCCTCTGACAGGCACTGAAGTCAGCTACTTAGTTCAGTAGTGTGAACGGACAGGAAGTCAGAAACATGAATGCAATGTCGGCAGCAAAGTTAACATCACTTCCTTGATAAACACTGTGTACACTGACAAGCTGACAAACACATCCATCTCATTAGGGCAATCCTGCCCTACGTGTTTCTCTAGCTGTCAGATACGCTATTGTACAGTTGCGCTCCTTATGCTGAAGCAAGCTGCAAAATTATTGAAGTACTTTCTCAGGATTAAAATAAAGCACAGAGATACAATGAATGTGGAATTCCTAAATGCGGACGGAGATGTCAGCACGGCCGACGCAGCGGATTTTGCAGGCTCCTGCTTCTGGATGTGGTGATAAGAAGATGACCTTTTGGTAAGTAGCCATACACATGGGTGGCAAAGGCTCAAGTCAAAAGATTTTCTGATTTTTTTCAGGATGATTGTGTGATAGCAGGTAATGTTTTCAACTGAAGATAATAAATAGCAAGTTCTGAGGGAAGGGTTTCCCTTTGCTGGTAGACCAAGGGAACCAAGGAGCAGGGTCTGTTACTGTTCATTGCGCGAGTTTCGGAGGCTATGAGACTTCATAGCAGGGGGGAGAAGGGGGAGGTTTGGTGGAAGCGGACTACAACTCCTCCTGGCTCCGGCCTCGACACCGGCACGGGCGCTGCTGGTGCGGGAGGGCCCGGGGGGTGCTGCCATGACAGCGCCGCGCCGCCACCTAGCGGCCGCCTGCGGGGAGCAGCGGGGCCGGGTCGAGTCGGGTTGAGCTGCCGGGCTCCGGGACCCGTACCTGGGCTGTGTGTTTGCTCCTGCACAGAGGAGGGAGCACAGTTGTGAATACAGCATCTGTGATGCGTACAGGTGAGGCCAGGTGGCCTTTAAGAGTGACTTTTTAACTGGAAAAGCCCACTGCTGTATGTCACCTCTTTTCCATCAGCTGGTTTTCCCTTTAATATCTGTATTTGATGTAAAACTCTGTTGTTTTTTTTTTCCATCCGGAATGCCCAATCAAGTCCTCTGTCTGGGATATCTTGATTAACTGCACAATTCGAGGAACAGGATTGGGCCCCA